AATAAAAAAAAAAAAAAAAACGCGCGTCTCTCTCTCCAGAGTCATGAGCCAAGGGAGCTTCTTCCTGTCTCTGTGGCCAGCGGCGGCCGACAAGAGACTGGGTCCAGCGCCGGCGCCAGGAATACACCCCCACGGTGATACCCATCCGATTATTGGAATAGAGCTTCCGGATTACGGGGGCAAGGTGCTCTTTCCCACGGAACTTCGTGACCACAACATCGATTCGCTCGATTTTAATTCGCTCGACAGAAACACGCAGGAATTGCTCGCGTACATCACGGAACAGGACACTTTCTCGAGGTATATGTATACTTGTTAACCATAGGCCAAACTGTTGTACGGTCGGTATAAAATGCCTGTGTGTATTAATCTATACCGTTTGTATTTTTAGACCACCTATTGAAGAGCGAGAAATTTTGTGGGAAAAGAGGCACTATCTGCACGAAAAGTCAGAAGCTCTGCCCAAGGTGTTGTTGGCCGCTCACAGCTGGGATTGGGCTTGCCTGCCCGACTTGCACGCGTCGCTGCGAGTTTGGAGTCCCCTGCCGCCGGTTCAAGCTCTCCAGTTACTCTTGCCGTGGTAAGTGTGACGATTATTACGTGCAATGTAGTACCTGAAACGATTAACAAAAAAAAAAAAAAACCTTTTCCCTCCAGCTTCCCAGATATGAAAGTTAGAGAACTGGCAGTAAGTCGAATACGGGAACTGAGCAACGACGAGCTGGTCGATTACCTGCCTCAGCTACTCCAGGCGTTGAAGCACGAGACTTACGAGGCCTCGCCCCTCGCGAGGTTCCTACTGGAAAGGGCACTCACGTCCCCGCGCGTCGCCCATCACGTCTACTGGCTGTTGAACCAAGCTCTGCCTGGCCAGAGTCCCCAAGTACGTGACCAAAAACCTGTAATGTCTATATGTATCTTGGCTCGAGATTGATTCAACGCCGTTTTTTCAGAATTCGTCGGAAACTTCCATGCAAGACGACAAGAGTTTGAGTTTTGCGCGCTACCACAGGAGATTACAGCTCATGCTCCGCGCCCTCCTGGGTGTCATAGGCGAGGCCCTGCGAAACAGCTTCCTCGCCCAACAGTTCCTCGTTAAGGTGCGCGTTTTTTTTTTCCTAGCCCGATCATCCACAATGATGCCTTGTATAACCCGTATTTTTTTCCCCTAGAATTTGCACGAAGTGGCGGAAAGCATAAAGACAACCAAAGAATCCCTGAGGATGGACGTGCTGAAGACGGGCCTGCAAGGTATCGACACACAACTAACCGAGGACGAAGGCACGTGCCTGCCGCTGTCGCTGAGCCGGCAAGTCACTGGCATCAACGTCCAGTCCTGTTCCTACTTTCCCTCCTTCACGTTACCCCTTAAGATAAACTTTGTCGGCTGCGACAGCACCATCAGCCCAGCCATTTTCAAGGTTCGCCAAGTGCACTATTATTACCATTATTTTGTTCTCATTCCGATTTTTCTGTAACTGAATTGTTCATGGATTTGTAGGTTGGAGACGATCTGCAGCAGGACATGCTGACGATCCAGATGGTGCGCATAATGGACAAATTGTGGCTGAAGGAAGGCCTGGACCTGAAAATGGTGACCTTTGGCTGCGTACCCACGGGAATAAAGCGAGGAATGATCGAGATGGTGACAAACGCCGAGACTCTGCGAAAAATCCAGGTGGAGTTTGGACTGACCGGGTCGTTCAAGGACCGGCCGATAGCCGAATGGCTGGCCAAGCACAACCCGTCCGAGCTCGAGTACGAGCGGGCCGTCGAGAATTTCACCGCCTCGTGCGCCGGCTACAGCGTCGTCACCTACATACTCGGCATATGTGACAGGCACAACGACAACATCATGCTCAAGACCTCCGGGCACCTCTTTCACATAGATTTTGGCAAGTTTCTCGGCGACGCGCAGATGTTTGGCAATTTCAAGAGGTGCGTGTGCTTCTTCAATTGACACACATGTACTGTTATCACACCTAAATATTCCTAATTTCAACGCAGGGATCGAACGCCCTTTGTACTGACCTCCGACATGGCGTACGTGATTAACGGCGGGGACAAGCCATCCGCGAAATTCCACCACTTTGTCGAGCTGTGCTGTCAAGCGTTCAACATCGTGAGAAAGCACGGCAACTTGATTCTCCATCTTTTCGGTCTGGTAAGTTGATATAATTATTATTTTCCATCAAAATATTATTTTTCTTTCTCATACGCCGAGCGCTCGATCATCGAGTACATGTACAAACAATGGAAGAGCTCTCGACGGGAAAAAGGCTTATCGCGACAACTATATATTTTTATCGCGGCGCCGGCTGAAAAACCGCAATACCGCGTGTCATTTGTTTTCCGCTCTCTTTCGCGATTGCGCGCGTGCAGCGTCGCGATGAGAAAGTATCACGCGGGTCGATTGTGCTCGGAAGAAAAATGTCACCGAGAAAAACCAACGATCCGCATGAACGAGTACACCCCTTCCACGGCAACGGTAAGAACATTCGTGCCCGACACCTGTTCGCAGATGACATCCTCGGGCATACCAGGCGTGACGATGGACGCGGTGAGCTACGTGCAACGAGCCCTGCTACCCGGCCAGTCCAACCCTGAGGCGGCGGCTACCTTTGCCCGGATGATCGAGAGCTCGCTCAAGAGCTGGTTCACCCAGTTCAACTTTTTCCTCCACAACCTGGCCCAGCTGAGGTTCAGCGGCGACCACAGCGAGGGCGAGCTCCTGTCCTTTGTGCCGCGCTCGTACACGTGTGTATCATTTTCTTGGATAATAATATACGAGCAATTGTACATTGCACAATGGAAATACAATATCGCGTCACGTGTCTCCAGAATGCAGCAGGAGGGCCAGTTGACTAGCGTCCAGGTCTACGGCTACCAGAAGCGCTACGACCCGGAAAAGTATTACATGTACATACTGAAGATACAGAGGAAGGGCCAGACCGATCCTACCTACCTGTTTCGCTCGTACAAGGAGTTCTGCGAGTTCTACCAGAAGCTCTGCATACACTTTCCCCTCGCCAAGGTCTCCAGGTGAGCTTTTAATTTCCTGTCTTGCTAAAGAAAAAAAAAAACAAANTTAGGCAAATAACTACTTTCTCGACTTTTGACGCTTGAAATTGAGATTCGATGGCAAATCTCCGTAAATCTTTCGATCATCTCACAAACATTCACCAAAGTGACGAGTTAGAAAAAAAAAAAAAAAAAAAAAAAAAAAAAAAAAAAAAAAAGAAAAAAAAGAAAAAGAAATCTGTTCAACGTGCAATTGGGAGTAACCTTTTTTCCCCCTCCTTTTCAAATGTACACAAACACGAGACACGACGAAATAACTTCCAAGAGATCGTGTATTTTCTTAAATGACAAAAAAAGCTATGCATGTACACAAGCAAACCTTGAATGAAAAAATAAGGGAAAATCGCAATGACATGAAATAGAAAACGTTAATGTTCATCGGTGTCTTTTTGTATCTCGTTGTCGTTGCTCGAGCTAGCCTCGAGTTTGTCACTCTGGTCGGCCGATGCGGTCGCGTCAGTGGGTGGGTGGTTTTCCACGGCCTTGCCGACTGTGGGCTCCGCTGCAGGTACGTCCTGGCCATTTTTCACGGCACTCCAGTAACTCGACTGCTCGATCGTCCGGTAAAAGCCGTCGCTCGTGCCCGACTCCTTGGCCGTCTCCTCGACGTTGAAGGTTTGCTTGCAGTTCCCTTGACCCATCCTATTTTTGTTTTGTATCCGCTTACCACGACCTGTCGAATGTTCGAGACTACATGTGTACAAAGAAGGCTATATATATTTCGCAAGGATGGCCACACGCAGTCGAGCGAGTTGTAGCCGCCGCGTGCGCCTTGGGTTACAGGGGCTCCGGGAAAACGCAAAAAAAGTGTATAGGTATGCATGGTTATTCTCACCAAACTGTAACAATAACACTCCGAGCAAAGGTGCAGAGGACAAACGATCCAGCAAGTCGGTCGACCACGTATAAGGTAGCAGTGAACAACATCGGCGACACTGTGTTACATTACTTAGTCATCGGCTCGTTTATTGTCATCGCCCAAGGCGGCACTTTGTCGATGAGAATCCGCTCGCTTGTAGTCCGACGCTCGTTCAAAGCGACTTACAATACGTGCATACCTAATTGTATTCTTGTCTTGTGATTTCTTTCTTTTTTTTTTTTTCTTTTTCTTTTTCTTTTTCTTATCTCATCAGATATAACCGGCGCAAGCGTGTCTTATCGGAAGAGTAAATAGCGCGGGTCATTAGCGGCTTCCAAACCAACGATTCCCTTATCTTTCCGCGTCTTGATGGTCTATATGATGTACGCGCTTCGGTTGCGTGTATACATCCGCGTTTGGGAAATACACGAGGTGATGAAAGCGATAATGAATGAAGGAGAAGAAAAAAAAAAAAAAAAAAAAAAAATTGATGCTTCAAAACCGCAAATATATGTGTGTGTATATGTTGTGTCCATGTAAAGTTTGTCGAGCGGGATGAGCGTCGGGAGGTCGAACATCAAACAGGTGGCGAACAAGAGGCGCGCGGACATCGAGAAGTTCCTCGTGAGCTTGTTCAACATGGCCCCGGAGATATCGCAGAGCGACCTCGTCTACACGTTCTTCCATCCTCTACTGCGGGACCAGCAAAACGCGGACATCCACCTGCGCAAGGTCAAAGGTGCGGGTGCAACTTATTTTGTTTTTCCTCCAAGTATTATTGAAAGAAAAAGAAAAAAAAAAAAAAACCGTCTCTGATACAGTCGGAAACTGGTGGGTGGAGCAAAAGATATGCGAGAACATGCAGAACGGCCAGATAAAGTTGTCGCTGCACTACACGCGCGGCACGCTGTCGGTCATGGTTTACCACGCCCGTGGATTGCCAAAGGTGGCCAAGGGCGAGGAGCCCAACACTTACGTCAAGGTCTACCTTAAGCCCGACCCGACCAAGGTGACCAAGCGCAAGACGAAGGTCGTTAAGAAAAACGGCAATCCGTCCTTCATGGAGATGGTGGGTATTTTTTTACCGTTTTCACTCAGCGGGATCGTGACTTGCGGGCTCTATGGTCTTTTGATTTTTAACGTTTATAAGTAATAGAGGATTGACTTTATAAATCCACGACCATGTGTACATAATATGCTCAGTTGAATATTTTTGTCTGTTGGCAAATATTGCGCTCTACCGAGCTAATAGTACCTACATCGGTTATTGCATGTAAACGAGTGATTTTTGGATTCCACAGCTCGAGTACCGAATGCCGCTGGAAGTGATACAGGACCGAACTCTGGAGGCGACGATATGGAACCACGACACGCTTCAGGAGAACGAGTTTCTCGGGGGTATCCGTTTGCCGCTCAATCAGATAGATCTGACCAATGAAATAGTCGAGTGGTTTCCGCTGGGCGGCATACGATGAACTGACTTTTGTTTTTCAACCTCATGATTCTTCTTCTCCTCTTTACATATATATATTGTGCGTGTTTTTTTTCTTTTTGTTTTTTTAAACAAGGCTGTGGAGTTTTTTTTTATTCAAGCGACGTTTCCTCACATTTTTATCATCGTCCAAAACTAATGCGCACAACATAAACTGAGATACGAGGATCGATTACTCGTATTCGGTGACCAATGAACTATTAACGGTTATAGCTCAAAGTCGTGTGAGCTACTTTCGTGTTTTACGAGGAAACGACAAACGCACCCATATCGTTCATTCGAAACATAAATATATAATACGTATGTATGACATAAGCGATGTTTTTTACCACGATTTTTCAAAGGAAAACTTAGTGACGCTTAGTGAAAGTTTTTTTGTAATTGTATGATTTTATGCTGACGAAAAAGTGCCTGCTGCGATTTATACACACATCACTTACGTATACTTATTCACGCGTACCGCGGGAATCATGGGTTTTGAACGAGTTCAGATCTGCATGCGATGATTAGTTTATTTTAAAAGCTTTGATTCTTGTATCATCTTTTTTTCCATCGTCGGAAAGTAAATTGTATATATATATTTATGTATGCATCATTCGTGAATTTATCGCTGCTATTCTAGCAATAGCAATGGTTTCGATATAGATTAATTTCTTCATTTTTTAAGGCTGCTTAACAAAGTAAGAAATAATAGAAAGAAGAAAACATATATTTTTCTTTTTGCTCTTTTTTTTTTTTAATTTATTTTTAGATGATAACTTTATACATTATCCCAAAAGTATGCACTTTTACGATACCAAAATATCTATTTATTTTAAGCAACGTAGATAGCCTCTATTTTTATTAATCGCAATCACATGTATTATTAATTTAGAGAAATCTTAACCGTCTCATTTTTTTTTAATCGTCCCACAATCAAGTGTATATTTAACCAATCATGTAACTCGCGTAGATTTATTTTATTAATTATTTTTATTGTACCCCCATAATTTTACCGCTTGACGATTATGAACTGCGTCACTGATAAAGTAATGATAAATTTTACTTGTACGTATACAGTCACTCGCTATTATTGGAGCAAAGGAATTATTATCAATAAATTTTAACACTTTGTATAATATCGTCTGGTTTTACTTTTCATCCGTACCAAAAATATCCTATCATACTTTGGCTAAAATAAATAAAATATCAACTCCACTAGAAAACTTTTTAGCAAAGAATTTCGTTACAATCATCCGTTGCTTCAAATTCACTTACCTGTACGGAAAATGCCTTTCGAACATATATTTTTTGGGGAAGTTGGTGCTTTCACCAAAAGATGTCCCCTATATGCTCGTTCCAAGAGGATCGAAAATTGAAAAGTCTCCGAGGCGCCTGATTCATCTAAATATACAGAAAAAACAACCCTGCTGTTTGTAACTTGTCACTTGGATCAAACCCCTTTTGTGAAAAAAAAAAAAAAAAAAAAAAAAAAAAGGAAAGAAACGTATCGAAACCCTTTTCTCTTTTTCCATCTGTATTGTATGTAAAAATTTCATTCATAACTCTTTAACCGCCCCGTGTACCCGATAAATGTACTCGAAATAGGAACAACAAAACACCGGCAAAATCTCGCCGAAAAATCGCCTCTCGAATTTCACCGGCGCACGGTCTAATTGACGCCAAGACTCCTCTCTCCCGTAAGTAAGTATACGGGCGAACGAGAAAAGCAAAAAGATAAAACGGGACAATCGTTTCCGGCCGATCTCCACTCCCGTCACCGCACCTACAAAATATACACAGCCGTATAAGCATAAAAGAATCCCAACCTGTCGCCCTTCGGGGGAGAAGAGAACCCTTTCCCGTTTTTGCAGGTATATATGGGATTCCTCTGCGTGTGTGGCCAAACTAAACGGTATTATGTGCGAGGGTTGTGTCTATAGCGGCAGCACTAGAGAGAGAGAGAGAGAGCTGAGCTCCATTGAGCGCGTCAACCCTATGTATATATTATATACTGCTTTAACGAGATTAGAGATCGGCTGGCCGTGCGTGCGAGGTGTTCCCTCTCTTTTTGTGTGTTTCTATTGTGGGCACCGTCCTAACTATGTTGGAAAAAAGAGTTGCTCGTGTTTATGCAGCCCTTTTTCGGAATTTTCCTACGGGTCAACTGTGCGATTTTGGGATCGCGATAAGTCGGACCTTGGATCGGTACAGAGGTAGGCCTTTTTTTTTTTTTTTTTTTTTTTTAATTTTCAGCTCGAGCGATTTACAGGAATTCTTTGCAGCTTCGCTTACGCCTCTTTAGGCTGCGATTGTGCAGACTGTGACAATAAATCGGTATGGCTCGTTGGTGCGGGAAATTTTTCGATTCAACGATTGAGGAACAAAATACTCTTTTTTTTCCCCCGAGCTATGATTAAAGCCGATGCCAAAAAAGGGTCATTTTAAATATCGTCGTATAATTAGGAGAATTTGTCGAAAAATAATACTTTTACCCTCGAAGTCGTTAACTTTGCTCCAAATAAACTAACTTTACCTCGTTTTCCAACTTTTTCGTAGAATTTTTTTTAGTTAATTTTAATGGAGTTTTAATAGTTGGGCTTTTTTTTTCTAATTGTCGCTCAAAAAACAATTATCAAACTATTTTTGGAAGCAAAATGTCATACAGTGCAGACATTACGCAAAAAAAAAAAAAAAAAAGTACACGGAAATAAATCAAAAAATGAGAAAACTTCCGAGTAATCAGAGAAAGACAGAAACTAGTTTTTCCAAAGGTAGCATCATCTACCTCCCCCTATTTCCGTTCTTACTCTCCTGTCTCGTGATTAGGCAAATAACTACTTTCTCGACTTTTGACGCTTGAAATTGAGATTCGATGGCAAATCTCCGTAAATCTTTCGATCATCTCACAAACATTCACCAAAGTGACGAGTTAGAAAAAAAAAAAAAAAAAAAAAAAAAAAAGAATCCAATTCAGACGCGTCTACAGGCTTGAATATAGGCGTGTAAATGTCGCAAATCATTCCGCTTCCTCGTAAAAGCTCACACAAGCCCTGTATACACCCGCTGCGTCGGCGCACTTCAAAAAAAAAAAAAAAGGGTTGATACGAGCCCAGAACCGACCGGCCAGCAAAAGGAAAAAATCGTGACTCACCCGAGTGCCGTAGCGAATTCCGTCTTAGTTCACGTCCACACAAGCTGATCGATCATCCTTTATTTTTCCCATCCTTATTACCGCTTTTTGTGTCTGCGTAATCATTTAGCCCCTTGAAAAACCTCGTCGTGAAAGGACGCGCGGGCTTCCCTTTGCCTCTCCACCATCAGATTCCACAAAGTAGCCAAAGGAGGATGTATATACATTGTGCGGGCGAGCCAAAAGAGTTCGCGCGATTTCAAACGCCCGTCCCGGGGGCTACTCAAAAAATATTTCACGCTCCGAGCCGTGAATGGAGGCTTTTTTTGCCACCTTAACGATCTTGTTCTGCCGATTCACGCTGGAACTTTTCCTCGATACCACCCGGAAAACGTCCTTTCTCTCCAAAAATTAATCAACCGTCCAAATGGCAAAAGTAAAGAGAAGAAAAAAAAATAAAAATCTGCTGGTACATTCATGGATGTCGAGATCCTCGATGTCCAGTAGGGCGCGCGACACGTGTTCCCCACGGAGAGCATATGAGGGAAAAAAATTCAATACCACCCAAACACACGCACGTCACAATAATATACTACTCCTTCCGATGTCGCCACACGCAGCGCTCGAAATGCAAATACCGAAAAGCCCTCACCCCCCCCCCTCCCCCCATTTCCACCCAAAAAAGAAGGAAAGAAAGAAACAGTTGCCATTCGTTCGCATGAGCATACAGTAAAATACAATGATACGGGACAAAAAGGCTTGAGAGGGCATTTTCCGGTAAAAACGAAAAATCCGCCTGAATTGATGATCGCTCCCCAAACGAGGGCCACACGTTCATCAATTAAAGTGCCAAAGAGGTACAACACGACACGTATATGTATATGTATACGGGTGACGTGCAGCGTTTACCCATTATTCCATCGTAGGAGAAAGTAAGTATATATACATTTATAGCTTTCCTTGGGTGTCGGGGCCTTTTGGGACCTGATATAGGTATATACAAGGCCCGACACGATTATTACCAACGGGGGCTGCCTTCTTCTTTTTTTCTGCAGAAAAGCAAGTTATGTGCTCTTACGGCTCGTGTATACACAGCAGTGGTTGTACGGGACTGAATGGGTGCGGGGGAAAATCATTTATTTTGTCGAGCGGACACGAGCGATGAGCGTTTTCACGCGACGTGCTAATCGACGTTTTACCCCGCGCGTGGGTTAACTTCCCTCGGACTCCGGTGCCATTATGGGCCATCACGATCGTTTTTCCGATAAATGGATGGTCAACGTGTACACTCGGAGTGAATAATCGACCGACTTTCGAGGCTTTTGCATCGGCGCGGATATAATGACGATACCACTGGAAAATTAATTAATCAAGATTCGCCGGTCCGAGCGAGCAATGTTTGCCGATATTTGTACCGTATTTAATACATACGGGGGGGACGATTCCGGGAAGAAAACTCGGGTGGCGTGTTAACGATCGTTTCCCGAATCGCAACTCAAAGTCCGGCAATGGGTTTCCAAAAAAAAAAAAAAAAAAAAAAGGAAAAAAAAGGGGCACCGGACCGCCGTTTTAACGACTTTTCCGAGCGAAACGAAAAAAGAACAAGAGAAAAATAGGAGAGCCGGGGGGAGGGGACGATAAATAATATTGCGTCGTACGGTCAACTCGAGGCATATTGTATAAGACGAATGAAAAATGAAACGAGAGTTGTTTGCTCGCGGTATTGCGCATACAATAAGTGCACAGGGAAACCGTTCCTCCAACCGGCCATCTGGCCCGTACTCGAAAAATACCGCTGCATCTGACATAACATAGAGTTGCGCGAGCGGGATATAAGTAGGCACGAGCTTCTCGAAATTCAGGTCAAGCTCGGGCGCAAAAAGCATAGGCCGGCCCTTTTTTTTTTTTTTTTTTTTTTTTTTTTTTTAATCGGTATAATATCGCAAGCACCAATCCCCACACATTCAGAAGCACTTACTGGTCGCTTACTAAAATTACTATAAATAAAATAATATCGCAAGCACCTATTCCCACATAACAAGGGGCACTCACTGGTCGCTCACTTAAATTACTATAAATGAAATAATAACGCAAGCACCTATCCCCACACAATCAGAGGCATTTACTGGTCGCTTATTAAAATTACTATGAATAAAATAAAATCGCAAGCACCTATCCCCACACGACCTAAGGCACTGACTGGTTGCTTTAAGTAATAATGATTAATGAAATAGTACCGCAAGCGCATATTCCCACACAACCGGGGGAGCATACTGGTTGCTTACTAAAATTACTATAAATAAAATAATATTGCAAGCACCTATCCCCACACAACCAGTGGCACTTATTGGTCGATTACTAACATTACTATAAATAAAATAATAACGCAAGCACCGATCACCACACAACCAGGGGCACTTATTGGTAGCTTACTTAAATTACTATANCCCCTTCCTCCTTTCCCTCTCGTCGAGAGACACTTGGTTTCTCTTGAAATCTCTGTTGATCTTGGAGTTTTCAGTTCGGCATGCACACACACTCCCTTCCGCTTTTCCGCCTCTTGTGGTTTCATTTCCCATGGTTGCGGGGTTTATCAGGTGCCCCCGGTGGGCTCCATCGTTTTGTCTTTCTTCTGTTTTTCTTGCGCCAATTCTCTCTCTCTCTTCTTTTTTTTTTCCTTCCAAGAAGCTGATGTTTTCTCCCCCTTTCCTTCCTCTATAATTTTTTCGTTTCATTGACACGAATAACGTTGCTCAAATCAAATTTCCTGCCTCACCAAACGTTATACTTACTTACTCCCAATGAGATACGATGTTTATTTGTTCCGACATTGATAATTGCGTGCATTTTGACGTCTCGTTTTTCAGTGGGAGGGAAGGGTCATTGCACGCCATTTCTCACATGACGGGACGACGAGTCGGTTTGTTCCATTTGCTCGGGTATTATGTCGCAAAAAAAATCTGTTGCCAGACTGATCGATCGAACGATTTTGTCCCCGAAACCACCGGTTATGTACATACAAGTGATGGACACACAAGTCCAATACCAAAAGGTATATACAGAGCACCTGTGTCACTTTTTGGTAAATATACATAAATGCACGAGTTCAGCAATAGTGACATACTTTTTTATTTTATTTTATGTTTACTTTGAGGGAAAAAAAAAAAAAAAAAAAATTGATCCAAAATATCAAACCCAAAAAAAAAAAAAAAAAAAAAAAAAAAAAAAAAAAATCTATAGATAGTAGTAGTGATTTTGATTAAGCAGAGAGAAAGACTAATACACGCTACATTATAGAGATAAAACAATCGAGACGCGCATCATCACCGAACGAGCAGCCAAAACTGTTGTATCGACAATATCGCTTTCTCCTTTAACGTTCCGTGTACTCGTCATCCCAAGCGGGAAGGAAAAAAGAATATAGAAAAAGACTCGCTAAAGGAAAACAAATTCACTCCCCGAGAAGCGTATATTGTATATAGGTTCCAACGAAATTCCAGACCCGACAGCGACCCACAAAAGTTCACTGCGCCAATAATATAAAAAAGGGCTCGCGAGGAGCAGCCCGTGTCCATATATACATTGGCTTCAATCTCATTAGCTTTTCCTCTGCAGTTCACGACTCGCTGCACTTCAACTCTCCGTCTTTTTTTTTTTTTTTTTTTTATAGAATCCAACCAAAAAATTTGTAAACGTTTCAAACTGATCTAGTGTAGTTTATTGGAGGGGTTTCGCGAAATAATATACTAATTGGAGTCCATTAATCAATATAAGTAAGTTAAAAAAAAAGAAAAAAAAAAAATTTAAACACGTGACACCTAAAACATTATTAGTTTAAATTGTAATTCAGGGAGATGTAGACTTGTTAATTTCCCAGCCAATGTAAAAAAACGAAAATCGAATAAACGCCCTTTCCAGCTAAAGCCATGGAGCCCCAACGATTCTTGTGGGTCTGCTTCTGGTGCCACGACACGTTCGTCGAGCTACCCGATTGTCTCAAGCACCAGTCCAGCCACGCAACCAAAGACACCGAGGGTCACCAATCGGCGAGCCCAACCGATATTCAGCAACGAAGGCAACACCACTTGGGGCCGAAGGAGCGCCGGCATCGGTGCTCGGTGTGCCCCCGCACCTTCAACCTCGGCAAAAACCTCACCCAGCACTCGCACACCCACACGGACGTACATCTGTACCATTGCACCGTGTGCTGGCAAACCTTCTCCCAGAGCGCGAGCTGCTCGAGGCACAAGCGCACCCACGAGGGCCAGCGCTTCCATCGCTGCTCCACGTGCCAAAGGGCTTTCGGCCGTGCGGACAACCTCGCCAGGCACGAGCTCACCCACGCCCCGGCCGAGCGTGCCCCCCACTGCTGCACCGCGTGCCCCCGAACTTTCACCCGAGCCGATCACCTCGCGGCTCACGCGCGCGTCCACACCGGGGAAAAGCCGTACCGATGCTCCGTGTGCCAACGAGCTTTCGCCCGATCCGACACACTTGCCAAGCACACGCGCTCCGTGCACACGGTAAGTGAGTTCGGCGCCTCCAAGATGAGTAGCTTTGGGAAATCGGTCGATCGGATTCACCCGTGAGTCGCTGTAGTTGGAGAGAGAAAAGGGACGACTGTCATTTCTTTCTTTCTTTTTTTTCATTTTTTTGTTTATTTGTTCGCTTGGNATACTCTGTGGAAAGCGCACAATCGTGCGTGTGTATACGGATGGGAGGGAAAAGAATCATCACCGGAGAGGAAATAGACGCAGGTATATTATACGCTCCTAATTAACCAGATAGACGCTCTGCGAATATTATACCGTATGTATACGGGAGTGGGTGTAATTATATTACGCACAACAGAGAGAGAGAGAGGGGGGGAAGGTGGAGGTGAATGAAACCACAAAGCGGAAGCGATTCCGCGGCCGAGCGCGGAAACACAAACGCCCGCACGCCCGGTATATATCTGATGTATGGGTGATGTGTAATATGGTGTAAGTCGGCTCTTCCTTTTCCCTCATACTTCCTCTCTCTCTCTGTGGCCCGTCGTTCGTATACGTGTAATACACATACAGTGTAGGATGATAAGCGATATTAATATATATGTACGCACCCTCGCCCCTTCGGCGGATCATATACGAGCAATCTGCAGCCAATAGTTTTTCGAGTGGACTCTGCAGCCCATTGATATGCAAACAACAAATACCTTGGGCTGCACTGGAGTGACACATGTCTCGAATGTAAATAAAATGTGACACTTGTGGATCGGCAAGTTTGGTGGGTACTTGACGAGGGCAGGGGACCATTTGTCTCCCCACCAGAATACATTATGGGATACAATTTTGGTGAATAAGGTGATGCGGCTTTCGGGACCAAAGTAGGGTATACTCATAGTACACGCATTGGCACTTGATGATTTTGGAAAACTTGCGCGGGGCACCGCTCCGATTTCCAATGACTCATCGCAGAAACATATAATATGTCCTCAAAGTCGATTTCCATCGTAGGATACACCCGTAATTGGCCACAAATGTAACTTCCTTCATTTCCAATACTGTCGACACTATTCGTAATATACCTGCACATAAAAGATTCTCAATGGCTATTTTTACTCACACATAGCTCATTAATTGTTCCAACGATAATGACAATGAATTTGTTGTTGGTTTGCAGGACAGGGACGAGCAAACGCGACTCGAGATGAAACACCGCAAGGAGGAGGACGATCTGTACCGCAAGTTTGCGCACCACCGCGAGGAGGAGGACCGCAGGATACGCGAGGAGTTCCGAGTCAGTGCATATTTTTTTTTTTTGTTCATTCCTATGAAAAATAAATCATCGGTACTTGAATCCATGTTGAACATTCGCTTGTCCACGCAGGACGAGTGGGAAAAGGAGCTGGAGCAGTTGTCGGTGAAATGGGAGCGCGATCGCGGCAGCAAGACGCGCGCCCAGCAGTTCCAGCAGGAGAAGGAGGACCTCGAGAAGAACATGACCCTGCGCAGGGACAAGAAGAAGGAGAGCCTCACCCGGAAAATGCTCGAGCACGAGCGGTAATTTTATCCCTCTTTTTTATTTTCCCTTCCGTTGGAGCGACTCTTTGGGCACGCGCGCGTGTAACAACTCCCACGGGGTGAAGAGGGAATTTTTTACCTTTTTTTTTTTTTTTTTTTTTTTTTTTTTTTTTTTCTCCCTCCGTTGTCACTGCCGGGGAAAAACTCGGCGTACTTACACGCCCGACTGAACCCCGGGGGCGTCTCCACGTGAACTTATTATTTCACCGACGCGAGTATTTGCCAATGGGGCTTTGTACTTTGGTGCGGCTCATGCGTCCACGGGTATACATCGGGATGCATACCTATACTTTTGTGCGTCGTCGCTCCCTCCGATGGGTTTATTTATTTATTGTACACGGGGACTTTTACTTCGCTGCACACGAGCGCACTCATCACACCTTCGGCCTCAAAGGGTTTTTTTTTTTTTTTTTTTTTCTTCCTCTTTACGGCAAATTTGATTTTTCATCAGCTGGAAAATGTAGTTTCAAACACCCGTAACGTTACATTTAAATACAGTCAGCATATTATAATCCATGCACAAAATAGCACGAGAGGGAGGGAGAGACCCAGTGAAACAACACAGGAAGGCCTGTTTGTACAGCCATTAAAAATCGCTTTTTCTCACCAAGCGGCCGCCGTTCGAGATTTTCCCAACCAAGTGGGGAAAAAAAAAAAGAAAAAAAGTAGGTGGGCGAAAGAGTCACGCGCGCGCTTTATTATTTTCCACGTCGCACTTGCGGTCCCGCACCCGGGCCCACAAGTATAACACCGTCATGCCCCTCCCCTTCAATTTTCGTACCGGCATAATATATAATGTACATATCCTCGTGGAGGGAGATTTATCGGCGCTCGATGATCCTCCGCGCGGCGCGTAAAATAAACTCGTATTACCTACGGAAGGAGTTTTTCAAACGCGCGCGTGTGTAGTTTACGTGTTGTTTTTCCCGTGCACGGGATGATGTATACGTGAGTACATGCACCCAAGAGAGAGAGAGAGAGGGAAGGAAGGAAGTTTATATACCCACTCGCATATGTGCGTGGTCTATATGGTACAGCTGAGAGAACACGTGGAGTAGATGAGCGCAACGTGAGAAAGGCTCGAGGACGCGGAGCAAGTGGATCCTCCGATATATATTCTCCCGTTGGCTCTGCTATTATTTTTCCCCCCCCCCCTTCCTCCTTTCCCTCTCGTCGAGAGACACTTGGTTTCTCTTGAAATCTCTGTTGATCTTGGAGTTTTCAGTTCGGCATGCACACACACTCCCTTCCGCTTTTCCGCCTCTTGTGGTTTCATTTCCCATGGTTGCGGGGTTTATCAGGTGCCCCCGGTGGGCTCCATCGTTTTGTCTTTCTTCTGTTTTTCTTGCGCCAATTCTCTCTCTCTCTTCTTTTTTTTTTCCTTCCAAGAAGCTGATGTTTTCTCCCCCTTTCCTTCCTCTATAATTTTTTCGTTTCATTGACACGAATAACGTTGCTCAAATCAAATTTCCTGCCTCACCAAACGTTATACTTACTTACTCCCAATGAGATACGATGTTTATTTGTTCCGACATTGATAATTGCGTGCATTTTGACGTCTCGTTTTTCAGTGGGAGGGAAGGGTCATTGCACGCCATTTCTCACATGACGGGACGACGAGTCGGTTTGTTCCATTTGCTCGGGTATTATGTCGCAAAAAAAATCTGTTGCCAGACTGATCGATCGAACGATTTTGTCCCCGAAACCACCGGTTATGTACATACAAGTGATGGACACACAAGTCCAATACCAAAAGGTATATACAGAGCACCTGTGTCACTTTTTGGTAAATATACATAAATGCACGAGTTCAGCAATAGTGACATACTTTTTTATTTTATTTTATGTTTACTTTGAGGGAAAAAAAAAAAAAAAAAATTGATCCAAAATATCTTAACCCCATTTCCCCGCAAAGCCGGGCCAAGCAACCACCCACGGAGTTCCCGCAAAAAGCATCACCTGTATCATACAGTAGGTCCACGCCCACTCGAGTTCCCGCAAAAGCGCGTCTTCAAAAGCGGTGCGCGCAAATGGTTATGGTCCCAAAAGCAGGGAAAGAAAGGAGGCCCCCGGAAAAGCGGGTGGGCGAAGAAAAAAAAAAAAAAAAAAAAAATGTGGAGCAAAAAGAGCGGTGCCGCGCAGATAAGCACGGAGATTAGACCCAACAACGGCTGCGTAAAAACGGAAGCTGCCGGGCATTGTATCACCAAACCCCCCCCCACGTGTGTGTGTGCACATAGCGATGGCCATTAGCTCCGGGATGCAACGCGTATATATACTACCGGGCTACGCGTGGCTTCATGGAGTATAGGTATGCCGGGAAAAAAAAAAAAAGAGCAGCTTCTGTTTGGCGACACTACGCCACAATGGGCCAAAAACGCAGACGAGGATTAAAGGATTAGGGCCCACAAAGTGCACGACACGAAGAAGGAGGTACATATAGGATCCTCGCGCAAATGTCTGCCGCCGATGGCGCTTGGATATACGTGTGTTTGTTATAGTTATGCAGAAACTCGGTGTTTTTCCTCAAACAACATACGTAAGTATACCCGTATCCCTGACCCGCGCTCGTGTGGCGCCGCTTTCTTTGCGAACGCGTCCCATTGTGCATCCTCTTTGCCATTGATCCTTTCCCGTGCGTGCACTTTTCCCGATGTGTATTTCGTAAAAATTCTTTTTTTTTTTTTTTTTTCTTTTTTTTTTTCGCAAAGCGCCGCGCGGCTGTATACTCGGGGGCTCTTTTTCCCTGCAGTCTCTCGGCTCGATGTCAACGGGGGATAAGTACACACCCCCACGAAGGACAGACTTGTAATTTGAGAAAGGCTGCTACTGGCGTTGTCGAGTGCCCGGGGGGGGGGGGGGGGATCGGAAACCGAGCTGTGTTTA